TAGACTAACATACATAACAATATAAAAACAAAATACACCTATATTATGTATACCTTAAAACAAACATACATACAATATAATAATAAAAACTAATCTACACGATTTCCCTTATCGGCGACGTGTGGCGCAATCTGGTGTCACGTAACCGGCCGCGGAATCGCCGATATATGACACCCTTCGGCCAAAATTCCTCTTTCATGAAGGTCGAAAGATGTTCGGTCGGTATTCTCACCACAAACGAATTAAAGTTCACGTTGCGGCGAGACTCCAACCGCTCGACCCTCAGGGTGTATTTGGTTTTTATTCACACCCCTTTTATATAAAGGCATAACTTTTTTTATCACTTTTCAGAATGGTTAAAATTTACCTTTAACTTAAGATACTCTGTTACTGACAAGGAAATAATCGTTATTACTGGTCCTTTCCATCGACATAGTTAAAATACTGGATTCTTTTTTTCACATTTGGTCCATTTTATTTTCAGATAGAGAAAGCAAAGTTTTAAAAGTATATTAATTCAGTATTATTTTTCTTTTAAATTAAAATTTTGCCTACATGCAATCGGTCTTATATGAGATCATAAGCAGTTAATTTTTTTGATATATGTAGGTTGCCTTTATTTGGAAAACTATTCAGCTCAGTTAGTTGAACCCCAAATGTAAATACACTTAGGTAAACATTGTGCGCTAGCTAGTTTGTTACTATGAGTAGCTATTCTTTCTTTTTAGTTAGCCTAGTTCAGGGGTTCCCAAACTTATTTTGTCTACTGCCTATTTTGAATTTGAATAAATTATTTTTTAGCGCCCCCATTTTTTCACCTACTTAAAAACCACTATAACTTCAAATTAAATTAATTATTGTGAGCTATATTAGCGGAGATTAAACATTCATTCTAAACGAGACTTCTGTAACCCGCAAGAGTTAACTTGAGACCTGAGCGCAGTAGGTAGTACACAACGGCGCCCAGGCTCAGGCAACAATGCTTCATTAGTTGGTAAAGTGGATTCATCGAGCTGAATTGAGAATTGACTAGTTCTCAGGTGATTGCACAATGATTCTTCAATGTTTTTAGCCATTTCATCAATTCGTCTTTGCACAGAATTATTACTCAAAGGAATTTTTTGGATAATATCTGCCGCCGGTTTATGAAGCACAGTAGTTATTACTTTCTTTATTGCTGGCAAAATTAACTCTTCTCCGATGTTGTGTGGTTTGCCTTTTTGAGCAATTAACAAAGAGATATTGTACGAAGCTCGAAGTCCGTCGTCATCTTGCTTAACAGCCGCCGAAAAGAGTTTTGCTACACTTGGCTGAGTATTATGCTTCTCTAGGTCTTGAAAATATGCTACATTCTTGTCTTTCTTATCTGAATGCATTTTATTCAAATGATCTTGCGGTCTTGAAGGCTTCATTGCTTCATTCGAAAATGTTTTTAGACATAGAAGGCACAAAGGCGACGATGGGTTTGTGGGATTTTCAATGAATCCGTATTTAATATATTCCGCAAAGTATTGCCGTCTCTTCTTTTTTACTTCCGACATTGTTTTGTTTTGAGAAATACGTAAGTAAGTGTAATAAATATTACGTTGTTTATATAGGATTGCATAAGCAGCACGCACCGACAGGAATAAGACAAACATGCATAAACTCGTTTATCTAATTCGACGCTCAATCGTACTCAACAAGTAGAGCAAGTATTCTATAAACCAGCCGATTGATACAGGAATGCACAAATCGGGTTATTTAACAAAAAATTCTTAAAACATGATTGCCCGCGATCTACTATCTACGAAAATTACCTATCTAGGAATACTAATAACTATTAAAATGCGAAACTGTGTCTGTTGCCTTTTTATTTGTTTGTTTGTGTCTACTTTCATTCCGAAACCGATTGACATGATTTTTATTTTATTTATTCAATAAAACAGGACAGATATATGAACTACACGGAGAGAAATTTTGAACTGAGTTAGTTTGAGCAATCTCTTAATTAATATTAGTTGATGTTCACAAGTTGTAGTCGAGAGCTCAGTCGGTGTCTAAGGGCCGTATTTCAGAACTCTACTCAATGCTCAAGTCAGAACTTGAGCAGACTTGAGTATGATTTCAAGCACTGGAAATACGACCTTAATGGCAAGGACTTGAGTATGATTCTAGTGCTTTGAATCATAGTCAAGTCCTAACTTAAGCATTGAGTAGAGTTCTAGAATACGATCCTTAGAGTCTTCCTAGATGAAATTACAAATCTCCCCCTAAGCCTCTACACAACGCCCCCATTTTTTTTCTGGGTCTTTAGGCCTGCAGCGCCCACTTTGGGAAAGGCTGGCCTAGTTATTTCCTCATAATTGAAGGCATTTTAAGGGTCGTATTCCAGAACTCTACTCCATGCTCAAGTCAGGATTGCACTGGAAACACAAGCACTGGAAATACGACCCTAACGACAAGGACTTGATTATGATTTTCAGTGCTCACTGCTCAATACTCAAGTCCTGACTTGAGTATTGAGTAGAGTTCTGGAATACGACCCTAAGATACTCGTGGATCTCATGTATTTTAGTGAACCATGGAGCATTTGTATTTGACTTAAGAATAAAGTTTTGGTATTGGTCGGCTTAAAAGGTTTCAGAATTGCCTTGTAGACAATAATAATATATAATAATTATTTATTTAAGAAAAAAAAAGTACAAAGCACAAGCTAATTAATCTACAGCAATTCAAAATTATTAGGATTGTACATGTAATTTGTGAATTACTTGTCTAATTAAGGGTGCGTTATCTACCGTTTATCCTCCACAATTTTGAATTTCCAGAGCATCAACAAAACCTATCAAGCCATCAGTAACCATCCAAGTGACGACTGGCGATGGCCAGCCGTTACAGTTGCAATGCTGTCGGCTGCCCACCACCGGAGACCTACAGTTAGGATACCTACATGGTGTGCAGATGGTATTTGAAAAAGTGGTGAGTAAATTATATTATACATTGAGGAGATCTATTGATAATGAGGTTATAAATTAAATTTGTCACATTGTATAAAACCAGTGCGCCATTCATTGGAGAATTGAAGTGTAAGTTTTGATTTTTAAATGTATCGTTTTATAAGTCTCATTTAATTTCTATTTAACATATATATGCATTGCAAACGTGATGTCATGCCTGGGAGCGGTATGCATGGTTGCAGTTGGTCCCACACTAGGCAGAGCCTATCCTGTGGCGACCTTATTACGTTTTTAATAAATGAATTTCGACAATGGTTATATTACGTTACACGTTGCATTGTGATTGTTTGAATATTAATAGGAATTTCAATATATTTTAATGTATTTAATCTAAAATAAACAAGAGGGGAAAATAAGTATAATAATAATATTTCATGACATCAAATAATAGACGCGTTTATAGTTGTTTGAATAAGAGTGCTTCAAATTCAAAATAGTTCAGCATTTCATTTCTATTTCGTAATCATACTCATACAAGTCTTTCATTTATGAGCATTTGGCTCCGCACGACTGCACCCGGCGGGCAACGCTATTTTCACGTCTCTGAGCGCCTGCTCAGGTTCCTTTTTCCTGGTAGTGAACACCTTGTGTCATTAGTCAGATTTAGTAGGCTATTATAGCGTAGGTATTTTAAACTTTGTATGCGAGTGATGTATCTATTACGTAGTAACTATTAAGTAATCTGTGCCTACGCTGTTAACGTAGACTACTTATTACCTTTTTTTCTAAATTATTTTTATTATTATTTATTTTTATTTTTTATTTAAACACTTTATTGTACCACAAAGTAACTTACAAATTTTCAGAAACAGTTTAAATATTTGTGTACAAAGGCGAGCTTATCCCATAAAGAGATTTCTTCCAACTAACCTTTATTATTAATACTTAGAGCTTTAAATTGCAAAAGTTCTGAGGGGCACTACCACTGCGCCCGTCACCCTGAGACATAAGTTGACAAGTCCCATGTGCCTGTAATTTCACCAGCACCCTTACCCTTCAAAACTGGTACACAGTAATGCTGACATTACTGCTTGGGGACAGAAATAGGTAAGGTGGCAGTACTACCTTAGACGGACTCGTTCAGAAGAAGCTCTACTACTACTAATATCTATGATCTAGCTGTTATAACTCACTTTTACATTAACTTTAAATCCAATTTTCAGACACCAGACTTAAAATCAAAGACACAAGTCCTGATCCGCGGCGATACAAAGGAGACTAAGAAGAAAACAAAGCAAACAAACGAAGTAAACAAAGTTCGGGCCGACACCAGCTCTAACGATGTCACTTATGTCGAGCCTATGGGTGGGGTTACGAGGAAACGGGCCACGCCAGGAGGCAAGGTCAGTGTTTTAGTTCCCTTTACACGGTTTAGGGCCACAGTGAGAACTTGGTACTTGGTGCAACGGGCTGGTATCCGCAACTCGACGACTAGGCGCCTATTTTGCGCGTGAGCCACAATGAGAAATGACCACAATTAAAAAGGACCACTCCTCAAATTGACCATTTATTGAATTGACCATTTTTTGAATCGACCTCTTCTCGAAATGACCATTATATTTTTTAATTATAAATTGTTTTTTTAGTATTTTTAGACCTGTTCGCCTATTTAGGTTTAGGACCATGCCCAGACATTTATCTAAACTAATTCAATAAGCACACCGCCTGTTTTTGTCGAATGGTTGCAAAATCCAGTTGCAATGGACGGAGGGGCGTTACCCTCCAGGGCGATAATAAGCAATATACTTAAAGATCCATTTGTCAAACTTGTGGTAATGTTGCTAATCCGAAACCGAAACATATTGAATTGTAAAAGTGGTCAATGCAAGAAGTAGCCATTTCAAGAAGTGTTCTTTTGTAGAAGTAACATTTAGAGAAATGGTAATTTCAATAAGTGGTCAGTTACTTGAAGATGTTGTTATTTCTCATTGTGGTCCTAAACCGCCGAAGGGTTTATTTCAACAAACATAAATAATAAAAAAGCACAAGTTCTCTTTAGATAGTAAGGTGTTCAGACGTTCCTAAAACTAAATGCAATGTTTTATTCATACAATCAACTTGTATGAATATATCATTGATAAACGGTACATGGGGCTATACATAGATTCGCATTTAAATTGGAAACATCAAATTGAAACAATAAACTATCAAGTTTATCATACACCCTGTTGATGCTAGCAAGAAATGCCTCACGTGACTCTCTACTGACAGCGTATTACGGAACTGTGTATCCAATACTCAATTATGGAGTCATCCTTTGTGGTAACTGTGTGAACGTCAACTCTACATTTGTCCTTCAAAAGAGGTGTATTCGTATAATATATAATAAAGACTTTATGGCGTCAGCCAGACCTTTGTTTAGACATAATAACATTGACAATATATATATTTTTAATTTGTGTTTGTTTGTGCGCGGTAATAAGGGTTGTTTCACTCAAAAATTGACAGTACAAAACTATAATCTACGATCGCGACTTAACTTACTGCAACCAGTAACTACCTCAGATATTTGCTTTAGAAGTGTTTACTCTACGGCCATTCGTGTGTATAATTGCTTGCCAAATGACATAAAAATGTTAGATATTACGACTTTTGACAAAACTTTAAAGATTAAAAAATGTTTTTACAGTTTAAATGATTTTTTTGATTATAAGCAATGTGAATAAATATTAATGAAATTAAATTAACGTAATAATGAATTAATATGCTTGATGTACAAGTTTATTTTAATTTCATAATTAAATTGTACTTTAGACATTAATTAAACTGTAATTTAAACATTGTACGCCCTTAGCGGGTAGATTGTGAGGACTGTAATTATGTTCATAAGATCTTAATGTTCACCAAATTCACACAATAAATGAATTCTATTCTAATCTAAAAAAAAGAAAAAAAAAGATCTTAAGAATAGTGGAAACTTGACCTTTACTGTCATACAAAAATAAAAATATTTAAATATAACGCACTAAACGGTAATAATGGTAACAAAATGAAGCGCTATCTAAATACCCTGATGCAAAACACAGGAGCAGAGGTCAGAGGCTTCCATTGTATTACGAAGATACTATTTTGACGATCTTTTATTTGAAATATCTTTCAGAAACAAAATCTCAATCATATGTAACATTTATGTGATTTATTCATTATGTAACGTGACAATTCCAGGTGGAAGTACCAATGGAGGAGCGTCTAGCTAACTTAACTGTGGACCTAAAATCTCGAGGCAAGACGGCAGTGTCTCATAACCTCACGAAGCTGCTCATGCAGGCGCTGCACTCCAAGGACCAAAAGTTTGTATTATAATATTACATATTTTTTATCTCATACGTAATGAGTTCTGATTCGAAACATTTAGTGGCAATAGAGCTCCTTGTGAAAGAGTTCGTCCAGGAAAGTACTGCGTACTACCTATTTCTGCTGCCAAGCAGTAATGTGAGTATGACTGTGTTCCGGTTTTTAAGGGTAAGGGTGTTGGTGAAATTACAGGCACATGGGACTTGGTAACTTTACTTATGTCTCAGGGTGACGGGCGCAGATCTTTGCGATTTAAAGCTCTGATAAGGCGTGTGCTTTGACTTGTTCCTCCCGTGACTAGATATTATTTAAAAAACTTACGACAAAATGCCTTCGAAGAAATAAATTTCTTACATATGACACTACGACATAAAAAGTCGTTAAAAACCAAAAACAAATATTTGTAACAAGCACATATCTTGCCTGGGCTGGTAGCTGTAAAGGTATCTAACTGGGTGACGAAATACTTTCATAGATTTCTCATAGATGGCGCTACGGCGCAAAGTCGTTGTAAAACCAAATACAAAGACACAACAACAAGCACATAGAAAAATTCGTAAGGTCTGCTGGTTGGTTCCGTGGTTTAGTTGGTATAGCGTCTGGCACGGTTTGCTAGAAGACGTCGGTTCGAATCCGCCCGGATTGCAGGAATTTTCTCTAAGTGTTCGATTTTTGTAATAATTATGACAAACTAGTGGAGCAATTTACCAAAAAAATAATTTAATGCATACTAGCAAAACATCGTGACATTAAATAACAACTTCAAAAATTAGACTGATTTTTCTTAGAAATAATAATAACAATAACGCACACACTCAACATAGCCCCGCACTAGGGAAACCCTGTGTCACGGGTGCCATGGACACACACATAGACAACCACAAAATTGCACCCAAACTTACGAGAGAAATAAATGTAGGCCTTACAAATATTTCTCCCGGTCCGGGAATCGAACCTGGGGCCTCTTGTGTGGCAGTGCGGCATGGTAACCGTTCGGCCACTGAAGCAGTTAAAGCAATAAAACTAAACAAGATATAAAAAACCGCTTATAGGGGGATGTAATCTCGTTTCGCTGGTTCCAGATATGTTAGTAACTTAAGGGTACGCAGAAATCATGGCCCTCCACCTGCTACGCTCCAAACAACTCTATTTGGCCTGTTTCACTCTTATCAGCCTCTTCATACATGCCCATATTTAATAAATAATTTAATTATTGCAGATTGATCCAAACAGTCCTCCAGCACAACAAACCCATGGTAGCTCTTCAAACAGTGAGCGCCTTACCAGCTGACTATGTACTCCAGCTGTTACAGCAGTTGGCCGATATGTCCTCCAGGAAGACCAGCCAGTGAGTATTTTGCATTGTTATTATAAAAATAGATATATAAAGTCTTAGTTTCTTGTCCGACGCTTTTTTAAGCACAGATCAATAAATACAGTAGAAGTTTGCATGGTACGTGTGCCAACAGTTCGCGTAGTTCCACAAACTTGAGCTCAGTCCACCGTTTTCGTATATAATATTAATGTAATACTTTTAAATATGGAACCTGTAATATACACAAAAAAAAGGATATAGATACCTATAATATACATAAAAAGGATATAATATATATAGGAAAAGGATAGAGATAAGGATTTAGTAGCAGTAGAGCACCCTGTAAAAAAGTTCAACCAGGATAGTACTGCCACCTGACCTATTTCTGCCGCCAAGCAGTAATGTCAGCATTACTAAGTTTCCGGTTTTGAAGGTAAGGGTGCTGGTGAAATTACAGGCACATATGACTTGTTAACTTATGTCTCAGGGTGACGGGCGCATTGGCAGTGCCCCTCAGATCTTTGCAATTTAAAGTTCTAAGTGGCACTGCAACTGTTATGGACAGGCGTGTAGCTTACCATGAGACGCACGACTTGTTCGTCCCGTCACTAAATACTATAAAAAATAAAAATTCGCGGACCGAAGAAACTACGGTATTATTTGTGACGGCTTTGTGAAACAACAAGTATCGCTTCATATATTAAGAAGAAGGAAGATATGAACACAGGGAATCAAATGTCGCGTTGCGTGCTTTCACGGGTAGCCTGAAAATGTCTAATAAGGTACGCCTGGCTGTGCATGGGCCTGGTGCATTGGCCTGGCAGTCACCACCAACCAGCACCCGCTGGTTTCTACACTGCCAGGTCAAGAGCGTGTATGAAAGCACTGGTGCTTATGGATGAGGCGATAGATGTGTGTCAGGACTGTAACAAGTGGCAGACTGTTGTCTCTGCCTACCTCGATGGGAGAAACGCGTGAAGTATATGTATTTGTTTATATATACATATATAAAATGAAATTAAAAATTGGACACACCCATTGAGATAAATTTCTTGTATCTTATTTAAGTTTATTGTGATTATTATAAAATATTTCGCGTTTTCGTTTATGTATATTCTTTCATGTGACTGTACTTGCTAAGCTTGGTATTAATTTCAGATGCGCGGCAGTGTGTACTTGGCTGTCAGCAGTGCTGCGCTGCCATTCCGCGTTAATATTGGCCTCGGCCAACTCGCAAACCGGTGTGGATAAACTCACTCATTTGCTGGCTGTATTCACTCATAGGTGAGATAAAGAAAGAACTAGGCAGATTTTAGATTTTAAGGCTTTCGTTGTTATTCACTAAATGATTATAAACAGGTTTCTTACCACGATATGATTTCTTTTTACCCGACTCCAAAAAAAGGAGGAGGTTCTCAATCCGGCAGTGTTTTTTTTTTCTTTTAATTTTGTATAGGTTTTTTAGGTACTCTGTACTTAGATTATTATTTTCTCAACATATTACACGCTCCATAGTCACGGGTTGACTGGCCAGCGGCAAATGACAGCTTTCAAGAACAGA